GATGTTTCTCTCTCATTGATGTTTCTAACTATCCCTTTCCCTTCCTCTCTGTAAAAATCAATAAAATAAAAAAAACAACAACCTTAAATGGCACACTAGATCAGATGGATTTCATTGACATTTACAGAAGATTTCACCCCAAAGCCCAGAGGTAAAATCAGCATTCTTTACTACCAACCCAACATAACTGCTAATCTTTCTGAGTTACTAAGATTAGTTGATATTTTTACTGTTTGTTCATGTTTTTTTAATTCCCTTTTTTCTTTATCAGGCAGAAATAAGTACCATTTGACAGTAGACATGAGACATTGAATAAGGCAATGTATTAATACGTTTTTTTAAAATTAGTTCTTGAACCTGGATTGTGCTAATGATGAATCATTTTATAATACTTTCTGTGGAACCAAAGTGTTTATTATAGGCAACAAAAGTGGCCCAAGGGCAACTGAATTAATTTAGAAGGGAAAAAAACAATAACTACAAAGTGATTCTAAACTCTAAAAATCTAAAAAGCAACTTGTTATTTGACCTTTAAATTTCTCATTGAGAAGGCTTTCTGTAGAGGCATTCTCCTTACTGTTAGAAATTAAAGAATGAAGACCCAAGAGAGTAATCTGAGATGCTAAAAGATTGAGAACCTGGGTTGCTATCTCAAAGTTCAACAGAATGAAAGGGAACCAGTCCCTACATTATGAAAAATGTATTCTTCCCATATAAAAGGAAACAATAAAGTGCATCAGTGATACTATATCCACTTAATATCTTTTCAATACCAAATATATAACACCCCTATGGTAGGCATTTGAGGATATACATTTATACATTCAATTCATATTTGACACATACTTATTCACCACCTACTAGGGCTAAAGCAGTGAACAAAACAGACAAGATCCTCCCCTTTTAGAACTTAAATTCTAGAGAGGAGATAGGAAATAAGCAAATAAATAATAAATGTGATAAGATGGGGGGAGTTAAGGGGGAAAGAGAAAGGATGGAGGGTGCTATTTTAGAAAGAAAGGTCAAAGCCTCTTTGAGGTAATAATATTGAAAGAAAACCTAAGGAAATGAGAGAGTGGATATCTAGGGGAAGAAGAGCAAACTAGGCAAAGGGAACAAGTGGAGAGCCTTGAGACAAGGTAGCATGATCACTCTGTTAGTGGTAAGGTAAAAAGGTCAGTGCCCCTGAAGTGGAATGAGTGAGGGGTAAAATGATATAAGATGAAACTAGGAGCCAGGCCATTAGAAGAGCCTTTTTGAACATTGTAAGAATTTAGATATTATTCTAAGAATGAAAAGAAGTCTCCAGAGTAGGCATGATTAAAGTTGTATTTTTAAAGATTCATTAAAAAAAGAAGAAGAAGAAGACTGCAAGAATAGAAATAGAGAGAGCAGTAACTAGACTATTTTTGTGTCTGGGAGAGAGATGACAGACAATTCAGGATATATTTCATAGATAGAGCTGACAGGATTTGCTGATACATTAGATGATAAACATTTTTTTAAAAGAGGAGTCAAGCCCTAGCCGGTTTGGCTCAGTGGATAGAGCATCAGCCTGTGGACTAAAGGGTCCTGGGTTCGATTCTGGTCAAGGGTATGTACCTCTGTTTCAGGCTCCTCCCCTGTCTGTGCCCTGGTCCGGGTCGAGCAGGAGACAACCAATTGATGTGTTTCTCTCACATCAATATTTCTGTCTTTCCCTCTCTCTTCCACTCTCTCTAAAAATCAATGGAAAAATATCCTTCGGTGAGGATTAAGAAAGAAAAAGAGGAGTCAAGTGTGGATCAGTTGTTGAGCATCGACCTATGAATTAGGGGGTCATGGTTTGATTCCCAATAAGGGCACATGGCTGGGTTGCAGGCTCTCAATCCCCAATTGGGGGCATGCAGGAGGCAGCTGATCAATGATTCTTTCATCATTGATGTTTCTATTTCTCTCCCTCTCCCTTCCTATCTGAAATAAATTAAAAAAAATTAAAAAAATATTTTTAAAAAGAGGAGTCAAAAGAAACTCAGAGGTCTTTGGCCTAAGCAACTGGATGAATGGAGATAACATTTACTCAGATGGAGAACGCTAGGTGAGGAAAGGAGCAGGCTGTGTGCATGTGAGTGTAGAGAGGGGGTAGAATTCAAGAATTCTGTTTTAGACATGATATATGTTAAGTAGGTGGCTAGATATATGCTTCAGGGAAAAGAGGAAAAGTCTGGGTGGGAGACATAAATTTGGTAGTCACCAGTATATAGATAATAATTAAGGCAATGAGACTAGATAGACATAAATAAATTTTAAATTTAAATGATTAAAAAGAATGTTTTTTTAAACATATTACATTTTATTTTTCTTTCACTTTTTTTTAGAGAGAATGGAAGGGAGGAGAGAAAGAGTGAAAAACATCGATGTGAGAGAGACACATTGATTGGTTGCCCCCCACACGCACCCCAACCAAGGCCAGGGATAGAGCCTACAACCGAAGTACTAGTATGTGCCCCAGAAGTCATACCACTATTAACTGACATTAGAATTGAATCTAGTACTATTTGAGATTAAAGCCCATTTTCTTTCTCCTATACACATCTGTGGAAAAACAGACCACAAAATAGCATATATAAATTTATAACACTATAATAAAAATAAAAGGCCAAATGTTTGAAAATCATGGATGCTTCGTAAGTTGTTGCTTTTTGTTATATATGTCTTTCCTGTAGAACTATTTAAATGAACAAAATATTTTGTGGACTTTTGGATCTAAACCACAATATGGAACTATCAACAAATGTTACAGACTCCTTAGAACAGTAGCAAGTGGCCATGATATTAAGTAGCAAAGATGGGAGTGGCTCAAATAGCAACACGTCTTCAACTACATCAAAGACTCAAAGCAAATAGTTATAGGTCCTAAAACAGTCCAACAAAAGAAAGACCTATAAAATCAGTTAAAATGTTAAGACAATAAATGATACTATGTTTATATTCCAGCAATTTAACAACTACGATTTAGTTGTTAAATATAGATGAAGGGTATACATCCCTGAATAATATAAACAAATAGACCCATATAAGTTAGTATGGGTAAAAAAAGGGGGAAAAAAATGTCAGCCTTTCCTATCAAATACTAAAGAGGTAGCAAAATTAATTAACTTAGCATTACTCAATATCTTTCTGGCATAAAGATACCAAACGAGGTTATAGTGAAAGGTTCCTTTGGCTCTCTTATTTTCTAAAACCTAAGGTATCCTCAGGAACCGAAAGAAAGAAAGAAAGAAAGAAAGAAAGAAAGAAAGAAAGAAAGAAAGAAAGAAAGAAAGAAAGCCCAAATACTTCCTTATTCACAACAGGGGAATTCACAGAAAACAAGGCTAGCAAAGCTAATAGTTTTAGGAAGGCGTCTGGGGAGACTCATAGACCCACAGGAGCAAATCCCTGCAGTGAAAGCTCTAAGATTCTGCAGAGAGCTAGGAGGAGGGAGGCTCCTCTTTTCAAATGGCTTTCATCCAGAGCAGACAGCAAAATGGAATTCAGCTAGGTTATTTCTTAACATTCACACAAGGCAAGCTAATGACAAGCATTCCTCAGAGATGTTGTAAGTTCAGTTCCAGACCACTGCAATAAAGCTGGTCGTAATCTTTTTGCTGGTAGAGAGCCTTGCCTTCAATTTGTAAACAAAAATGCAGTGTCTGTGAAGCACAATAAAACATATGCCTGTATTTTCCAGCTCCTTTTAAGAAGAAGTGGGACAAATACATTTTCAAAACCAAGTATAAGTAAAACAACCTGAAACTAATAGGATGTTGTATGTCAATAATAACTGAGACAATATTCAAACATATTCCTGTCCCCTATAACCCAGTTTGGATAATGTATGAAAATTTGGGTTTTGAGTCAAAAACCTTTTAACAGGACTTCCAAAAAATATTTATGAGATATTTCCTTGTTTGCATTCCAGGTTCATATGAATATGAGTGGAAAATATCTAGATATTGTTACAAACTGCACACACAGGTAAATGTGTTATTTGTCTGATAGGAAGGGTGAAGGCTTGACCAAATCTGAATCAGGTAAAAACTGAATGTGAACTATGAATTTCTACCGTCTTATGTTTACCTTTTTTGTGACTAATACATCATCACTGGGAGGATATTTTGAGTAGTGTAGTAATAATAGGTTTCTGCTAGAACCATTTAAAAGCCACACTATAACCCTAACTAACCTCCTTATGCATTTCCAAGGTTAACAGTGGTCTTGGAAGTTTCTCCTTAAAGGGGGGAGGGGGAGTGTTTACTCACTATAATCTGGGCCTCCTAGCACTAAACTATAACCAACTAATCTATTTTGACACAACACTACGCACTTGTTATATAGAGTTTTACGGAACTAGCATAAGGAATCCTTACTTTCTAATATCCTTCCGTGTCTATTTCGTCTCTCCCCAAGTTTGTCTTCAATTCAGCCATTCAAGTGTCTTTAAATCTCCCTTTGTAAAAGCCCCTAGGGCCTAGGGCTACTCCATAAAGTCGCTGGTTGAGGTCCAAAAACGGGGCCCTTTTAAAAACAGTTTGGATGTGAAGTGCTTTAGGTACTGCTCTTTGAATGACTGTTTTGTTTCCAACGTTTGGTACCGCTAGTTTAAAGAGCAAGTCATCACAGTAAACCAAAGGGAACTCTTCTGTTTTCTAAAGCTCGCGCACCTCATCCACATTATCAGGGAAGTACAGGACGCACTCACTGCCTTTAAAGGAGCCGAGACCAGGAAAAGGCAAAACCCACTGACAAATTATGGCAACACTGACATCATCAGCTGAGCTACCAGACCAGAAGCTTCTGCATTTCACAGCGTTTCCTCTCTGAAACTGCACAGACTGAAGCCTCGGCGTTGGTCCACATGAAGGCGAGCTTCCTCCCGCATTCCCAGGAGGGTTTGCTTCGGAACCCGCCCTGCCCGCCCTGCCCGCCCTCCGCCCCGGAAAAAAAACCCTCCCCGAAACCCTACTTAAGCGACTCCGGCGCCTCCCCCGCCTCAGTGCGTTACTTACCTCGACTCTTAGCTTGTCGGGAACAGTAACCGGGACCCGTGTCTACTCCTGATTCCTGCGCTTGCAAACCCGCAGCCATGGTGAGTGGGCCGCATGCGTTTTCCCTCGGTGGGGAAAACGGGGAAAAACAAGCTTGGGTAGCGGAGGGCCTCTAACTAGAGAGGGCTGAGACCCGCGCTGTTCATCTGGAGGGCAAAAAAAAATGAGATAAGAGCCAAGGGTGGGAATAGATCGGCTCCGGTTTGTGGAGAAAAGCTGGGGTCCATCAGTGGAGCCCCCCGCCTTTTTTTCTTGGACTCTGGGAGGGGATGATGGCGCGCCGGCTCCTTGCACCCCGGTTAGGGTTCTTACTTAGCCCCTCACCGCAGGGCGCGGCGCCCCACACCCTTCATACAGTCTTTTCCCGCGCGTTCCCATCCCCCTTTCCGTCCCCCGCCTTAGCCTGGCGCGCGGGCTCCCCCCGCCCTCACTTCCTCCTCGGCGCGAAAAGCGGAGGCGGGAAGGAGCCTGACACAAAGG